AATTTGAATAACAGTGGAAGTAAGTGGTCTTCTTTGTCATAATATTGATATTGTCCCATCACAGACCACATTGTACTTCGTGACAGATCTTGATATGTTGTTTTTGATGATGAATGTGGCACCATTCCTTTTCAATTTGTCATTATTGGTATAGTAAACCATGTGATTGACAGATTAAAAATGGCCTATACCAGTCCATTCAGCTCACTAATGCCTAGGAGATTGATGTTTATACATTCCATTTCATTCTTGACAATTTCCAATTTTCCTAAATCCATACTTCCCACAATCCATATTTAGATTATTAATGAATGTTCATAGTTATTTCTATTCATTTTGAGTTTGTGCCCCATCAGCAAATGATGGTCCCATGGGCTTACTCCATTTGTGTTATCATGTTCAACTCTTTTTGGGGAAGGCAGGTCTTACCTAGTAACATTTTGAGTGCCCTCCAGCCTGAGGTACTTATCCTCCAGCACTATATCTGACAATATTCTGGTGCTCTTCATCATGTTTCAATATTTAATAATCTTGTCCTGACTGTGTTCCACTGCTGTACATAAGGCTTTCAGTGAGTAAGTATTCTGAAGATGTCTGTTTCTCATTCTTCCTAGTCTGTCTTCTTCTGGAAGTTCAGCTGAAACCTGTCCACCATGTGTAATCCTGCTGGCATTTAAAATATCCGTGGCAAAGCTTCCAGGATCACAGCAACACACAAGCCACCACAGTACACCAAACTGAGAGACGAGTGAGTGGTGGTCCAGGATACTAACCATGGTATTTCCAATCATCTCAGATGAATGTGAAATCTGGACAATGAATAAGGAATACTGGAGAAGAATAGTTTTGAAATATAGTGTTGTTGAAGAATATTAGGTATACCGTGGACTGCCACAAGGAACAATTTTGTGTTAGCAGAAGTAAAGTTAGACATAGTCCTAGAAGTGAGGATGGTGAAACATCATCTCATATACTTTGGGCATGTTAGTAAAAGGAACCAGTCCCTGGAGAATGATCTCATGCTTGGTAAAGTAGAGAGTCAGAACAAAAGAGAAAATTCATCAACAAGATAGATTGGCACAGCGACACCAATAATGGCCTTAAGCATAGCAAAAATTATAAGGATCATGCAGAAAATGATAGTGTTTCTTTCTATTGTACATAGGATCACTATGAATAGAAGCCATCAGTGTCATCTAACAATCAGGACCACAACAGTTAAAACTGCAATCATCAATTCCTTAGGTGGCAAAATAGTGTAGATGTTAAGAGAAACACACACTCTAAATTATATTACAATGCTTTTAATCCAACTCTATGTAGATCTATAGTCCTACACAAGAAAGCATAACCTCATTTAAATAAGTATTATATTTGAATGTTACTTTTTAACTGGTGAGTTTGGGGAGGTGGGTAAAAATTAAAATAGCTATTCATTGGAAAAAAAAATCTCACTACCTCTCTCTCTTTGTGTTTATGTGAATTTTGGTGTAGTAGTGGTGATAAGTAGATTTCCAGGTATAATGGAATTGTTTAGAAATGAAAACATTCTTGACCACAAAGAAACAGTTTTACAGGAATTTACAATAAAACAAAAGGTAAAATCTTCAAGATATGAACAGAATATGTGACCTTCTCACATTCAAATCTTTTGTAGAGTTACTAATATTAAAAAAAAAAGTAAAGTCACAAAGCAAACAATTCTCCTAGTGGTGAATGAATACTGAACATTTAAAGGAAAACACAATATATTTTAAAATACACCATTTTTGTATCTCGGTCTGAAGCGATTTGATGGCACTTAACAACAGCATAATTCAACAAAATATGTGGCCATAAACATTGATTATGGAAATATCCACAATTATTTCAGGTCTAAAAATGCAGAGAATCAAACAGGTTGCAAGCATTTTGTTGCAGCTGAAGGAAAACCATACATAATCCCAGTTAAAGCTAGAACTGCTTTTACACTAGGAGAATCTTTTGATTTTAGAGACAGAACGAGTCAAATGTATTTTTCACAATGGTAGGAGGATTAAATTCAGTTTATATAAAATGGGGATAGAAAACAAAATTTAGGAAAGGAAGAATTTATGTTATCTTCTAACCCATGCATTCCTTGATTAAGAAAAACTAGTTAGGGATTATTTAACTTTTGTTAAATAACTATTTTAATGTAAATTAATATCATTTCTTTTAGCCAATACAGTTAACTGTTTTCTGAGTTATATTTGGCGGATAAGAAGTCCATGAAACCATAACCAAAGGTACTGGGATTCATTTTAGTTTCATAAGAAACTGTCTCGGTAATGTCAATCTTGAGAACTTTAATCTGTAAAATGACTTCAAATCTCACAGGGCCTGCTTTTTTCACTTCATATTTGATTAACCACAAATGCAGAAAGACACTATGGGATAGTAAATTATTGAATTAGAACAATCATTAAATTTGTATAATCTGATTCTAAAAATAACTTAAATTTTTTTTCTGTATTTCTTTTCATCAACTGTCTACTCATTAGGAGATTACTTTAAAAGATATATTTAAAAGTGAATTTCAGTATGTGATTTAAGTATGCTTCAGATTTTATTGCAAATTGTACGCATAACAATTTTTGCAATGTTTCCATGATTGGTAATATAATCTAGTAAAGAAATTAAATTTAAATTCAGAGGAACATAATAAAATGGCATTGCATTATCATTTAAAACAACCTTAAGAACAATTCAAATTCTCTATAAATGTTGGCAGCAGAATACTGTTAAAATATCTTCAGAATAGAAATGCTAATGAAACATATTAAAATTTTTATAGAATTTTATAGAATTAAGGAAATTTTATAGAATTAAGAAAAATGTAAATATTTTATACTATGATGTACTAAAGCCTCTGTAATGATCACATTTAAAAACACATAAGAAACATAACAAACAAACAAAAAATACAAAGTAAAGATAGTGCTTATAATAAAAGAACACTTTCTTGGAAGAGCAAGATTAAAGGCAATTTTAATGTCAGACTTGGGACTGATTTCACTGGGTTGTACTTCTAGCAGAAATGAAGGGGTGAGATATGTTTGGGAGACAAGATATTAAGAGGAAATGTCAGTCTGATAGTTTCTGAGGTTTTATAAATGTGTAGTTTGTGCTTATTTGGTTGTACTCAGTGGCAACTAACAACTGATCTCCAATTTAAGCATCTGTCCCAGCATTAAGGGAAAAACACATTAAGCCTCTTTATTCTTTATCCAAAATAATAAACACAGAGAACTGACTTATGGAAAGAACTTGTTTTATCTTTCTTTTTACTTTTCTTTTTATAAAGGTGGCTGAAGGTATTAACAATTAATATTTAATTTGATGTGAAACAGGTTTGTGAACATATTAAAAAGTGAGACTCCGAGTAAAGTGACATCCCCCTCATCGATTCTCCATGTAGTTGTCAATCACAAAACCAAGATTAGAAGCATTTGGTATGATTCATTTTCAACTTGATATTGATTTAAAGTGTAACCAACTTTCATCTCTAAGCTAGTATATCCAAGGAGCTCTGGTAGTGTAGTGGTTACGAATCGGGCTGCTAATCTCACCGTCAGCAGTTCGAAACTACCAGCTGTTCAGTGGGAGAAAGATGAGGCTTTCTGCTCCCATAAAGATCTACAGACTAAGAAACCCTGTACAGGGTCGCTATGAGACGGAACCGACTCCAAGGCACATAACAACAACAACAACTTTCCTTAATAGGGAATTCACTATTACATTTCCACAGCATACATATTTCATACTGTTTAATATGCGAAAACAAGTGCTTAAAAAACTTGAACATGGGAACAAATATTAAGGTTTACCCAGACTTTGTTAAAGTGTCTCAATTACCACTGTACCAGATGTGGAGATTTATTTTTAAATTATCTTAATTGGTTGTAATGAAACGTGTTGCCCATCATCTGAAAGATTTAGATGAAAACCTTTCAGACATAGGATTTACTCCTTTCAAGGTCTGCCTATTACATAAAGTTAAACCTAACCCTGTTGTTGTTGTTGTTGTTAAGTGCCATCGAGTCGGGTCCGACCCATAGCGACCCTGGCACAAGTCAAACTATAGGCTGACAAACCTTTGGAGGGAGCTTCCTGGGATCCTCCTTGGCTGGAGGGTCAAGCCAATGCTGACCTGGGACATGGATAAGGGATAATGGGCTGAGATGAGAAGCAGCAGGAAAGAGAGAGAGAGAGGGAAGGGTAGAAGGTAACTCATAGTCCATTTCTCTGCCAGAGTAGTGACTGACAGAGAAATCAGAAAGTACTGCATTTTACAGAGAACACAAAGGTGGCATAATTGTTCAAAGTTAGTTAAGAAAGTTTACAAGTATGAAGTATCTACAATAAATGCTGCATGAGCCCAAACTCTAAGGGATTGCCTAGTTTTTCAAGTTTGTTAAATTTTCCACCTTTGACAAAGCACTGTTTACCACTTTTCTATCACTCTTAATTAATGGAAAATGTATGAGATTTCCTTCTCTGACAGTGTTATACAAGTTAAGACTTTGACAGTAAAGGTATGGCGCTGCAGGATAATAATGCAAGGTCAGTTTGAATCGCAAAGTCAGCGGTTCAAACCCACCAGGTGCTCCTTGGAAACCCTATACAGGGTGGCTGTGGGTCAGACCCAATTCAATGGCACGTAACAATAACAATAGCAACTGTACCCTAAGTCTATGCTCCTTGAATAGCAGATTTTAAGAATTCACTCATCAGCCTTTTCCAGTTCCTCTCTGATTCCCTTAATGGGACTCAGGAATTTAAAGCAGGAATAGGCTGGAAGGCAGGAGTGGGCTGAAGAATACACGGAAGCAGAAACTGGTTCAGCCACTGGAAGTTAACACATGGACTAGTGACAGCATTTCTTCAAGAATGTTTTCTTAGATACTCTCTTTTTATTGAAGCTATCACCATTTCTTTTGCAATCTTATTCCACTGCTCCCTTCTCCCTCCATCCTCACCTGTCCACCGCAATGGCTGTCATAGAGTAGATGCTGGCGAACACTGCAGTGATAGGAAAAAAGTTCTGGAAACGGCAGTAGTTAGCACCGAAGTACCACTCACTGTGAAGCGCATATATGAAATTGACTAAGGTGTTGAACGCAGCCATGGAAGCATCGGAGAAAGCCAGGTTCACCAGGAAGTAGTTGGTGACGGTCCTCATGCGCTTGTGGGCTAGAATGATCCAGATGACTATGAGGTTGCCAAAGACAGCGACGGCAACAACCACACCATAAGCTAGGGACCAGAGTGCGATGCGCCAGGATGGCTGTACAAACTGATTGGTGAGATTGGCCCGGGGCTGGGAAGGCGCCAGGGAAGCTCCTGGTAATCCTATCACAGAGGAGGTAGAGGCAGAAAGGTTGCCTTGGACCAGCATTTGCAACCACTCTGATCCAGCGGACTCTGCAGAAGCCTCTGCCAGGAGCGCGGAACTCAAATTTCCTCTGGCGTCCGCGTTTATGTCTCCCGTGCTGTCGGTCCAGTTCGCAGCTGCTGTCAGAGATGCCATCACAGTGAGTCTGGAGCGTCGGACCTCCTCACTCTCCAGCGGCCAGTCTCTGCAAGTTCCCCAAGTCTCTGTCTCTTTCTCTTCACGTTGTGCGGGAATACCTTCTGACTGGCAAGAAAGCTTGTAGAGAGAAGTTACCGCGGCCTCTGCTGGTTGAGGGAAGCTTTCAGGCAGCAGATGATGGGTAGTAAGAGCTGCACTTTCTCCTGCGTTCGCTAGTCTGGCAGGAGGGAGGGATGGAATTCTAGGGAAGAGGGATTTTAGGGGCTGTGCTCAGCAGAGAACTCGGGTTCTGCCCAGTGCGCAGCTCCAGAGCATTGGTGGGAGCATTTAGACTAGGCTGCTGCAGTGCACTTTATATCTCCTGGAACCCCCCCAGTTTTGGTGACGTCGTCTGGGCCAAGAAGCTGAAGAGCCCCTTAGCTAGTTCCTACTCCCAGCCCTCCAATTTCCTTCATTTGCTTCTTGCTTCTAGTCACCTTGCCAGATGGTGAGTGGACTCCGGAAAGGAAGGACTGCTCTTTCTCAGCAGCAGCACAAATCTTTTGAAGATTGTTCTTCCTTTTTCAACTTTGTTGAGGTCATTGTTCTCAGACATTTACTGTATTCTTTTTTGCATGAGTTTAATTCATGAATTTAATTCATGAGTTTAATTCTTTTTTGCATGAGGCAAAGGTACAAGTCTAGAGGATTTTCCTCAAAGAGTCTACTAGATCTGTGCTTTCTTTTCAGGCATATTGGCCTTCTCATTAAACTTCCTACTCCTGTGTATATATGCTCACTTCTTACATTAACCTGTTTTCCTACTTTCTCTAACCTCTATCCCCACATATCAGTCCTCTCTGACAAGGTGACACCCAGACAGGGACTTTAGGTTCTACTGATTCTGCATGGAGTGCGGTAGCACAGGTAAGACAAGGCAGAAATCCAAGATTGAGATTTTCTTGAAACACCATGATGAGACCTAGATTTATTCATTTCTCTAAAGTGAACATTTCCTGTGAATGATTCTAAATACATACACTTTTATTGCTGTTGTCGCTATTGCTGACCTTTGGAGACTTGGTTTTGACTTCCAGACCAAGCTTTGAGAATGTATAACTTTAATTTCCAAGGTTAGATAACTGAATTGTTTCAATACACTTTCTCAATAAAAACTGGCAGGCAGTAATTGTGATTACCTCAAGTGCTTTTCCCAAATATTTTCAGGTAAAGTGGATTTGACAATAAGTTTCATTTGCTTCAAGAGACGGTAGCATGTGATTTGTGGATAGTGTATGCGCTTTAGTTTCAAAGTTCAGAGCATCTTCTTCAAAATTCCGGCTGTGATTTTGGCACAAATGGGCAGACAAGGGACAATATTTTCCTTCTGATAGTTTCATAACTAAAATTGTATTGTGTATAAATAAGTTTGAGGTAAATTGATAATAATTATATTAACACAATGGCTGGACCATTTGAACTGTTGACCTTGCAGCTAGCAACCCAACTTGTAATCTACTATACTACCAGGGCTGCTTGATAAATGATAGATAAAGTTAATAAAGACTCCTCACATACTGTTTACTAATTCAAAATTAAAATATTTTCTTTTGAAAAGCAGTATACATTTTCCTGCCAAGTTGTCACCTAGGAATTCTGGAGTTATAAATTAAAGTGTCTTTTCCTCTAATGAGTCCAAGGAATCATTTAAACAACAACAAAAGCCTATATGAGAGACATATATTGAAATAATTGCAATGTGCCATCAAATTTATTCTGACTTATACCAACCCTATAGAACTGAGCAGAATTACCCCATAGGGCTTCCAATGTTGTAATCATTAGGGAAGGTGCCCTGGTGGGACAGCAGTGACATGCAGGGATGTCAATGAAAAGATTGAAGTTTGTAACCCACCAACTGGTCCAAGGGAGACAGATGTGACGATCTGCTCCACTAAAGATTTTGACCATGGAAAATCTCTGAGGCAGTTCTTTGAGTTGGAATCAATTTGATGGTACCCTAGAATCACATTCTTTATGGGAGCTAATTGCCAGGTTGTTTCTCTTGAAGAGAAGCTGGTGGGTTCTAACCACTAAGAACACCAAAATTGTCAGTCTTGAGCTACTAAGTGAAGGAGAAGAAAGCATGGTAGAGGAAATGGTAGCATACCAGAAGCATTTAGAGTAGGGTTCCATAATCTTGCACTTAAAATCTGGGACTGTGTGGGTGCATTTTGTTGTTGTTACGTTTCACTGAGTCCATTCTGACTCATCACAACCTTATTTACTACAGGTGCCTGCTGCTGCATCTCCCTCACCATTGTTAGGCTTGATCCCATTGTTGCAGCCATTGTATTAATCCAGTTCTAAGAATTGTGGCTATACTTTTTCCAAGACAAATGAGTTCATTCTTCTGGCAGTCAATGGTATAGTCAATAGTCTTCAATATATGACTTAATTCAAAGGCACAAATTCGTCTTTAGTCTTGCTTTTTCGTTGTCCAGTTTTTACATGCATGTGAGGTAATTAGAAAATACCATAGTTTGAGTCAAACGTTCCTTAGTCCTCATTAACACTTTCAGGAGGTCTTTTGTAGTATATTTTCCCAATAAAATATGTAATTTTATTTCTTCAATAGGTGTGGCACTACAGGATAAGCACTGTATTATTGCCTTCAAGGTCAGCAGTTCAAGCCTAACAACTGCTCCTCAGAAACCTCATACAAGGTCTCTATGAGTCAGAATCAACTCAACAACACTCAAAAACAACAACATTTCCAAAAGTGTTGATTGTGAATCCAAGTAAAAATATATCCTTGACAACGTCAATCTTTTCTGCTTTTTTAAAAAATGTTGCTTATTGGTCAAGTAGTGAGGATTTTTATTTTCTTTACATTGATATGTAATCCATACTGAAGGCTGTGTAGTCTTTCAAATCCTCTTCCCTTTCAGTAAGCAAGAATGTGTTATCTGTATATCCCATACTGTTGGTCAGTCTTCTTACAATCCTGATTCCTTGTTCTTTTGGTATAGTCCAGCTTCTCAGATTATTGTTCATCATACAGACTGAATGATAATGGAATAATTATTTACTTAGCATACACATAGAATAAGTATGGTGAAAGGATACAATCCTGATGCAGACCTTTCCTGATAGTATATCATTCAGTATGCCCTTGTTCTGTTGAACTTCTTCTTGGTCAATGTACAAAGTCCTCATGAACCCAATTAAGTGTTTGGAGCTCCCATTCTTTGTAATACTATCCATAGTTTGTTATTAATCATATAGTCATATGCTTTTGTACAGTCAATAAATAAAGCATAAGAAACCATCTTTCTGTTACTCTGCTTTCAGCCAAGGTCTATCTATGCTGCCAGTGGAATCCCTCATTGCATAACCTCTTCTAAATCCAGCTTGAATTTCTGACAGCTCCCTGATGATGTACTGTTGTATCAGTTTTTTAACTGATGAAACATGCAATCAAGACGTATTGGTAATTACTGGTGATTGGAATGTCAAGGTTGGAAACAAATAGGAAGGATCAACAGTTGAAAAATATGACCTTGGTGATAGAAATGATACTTGAGATTCCATGGGAGAATTTTGCAAGAGCAATGACTTGGTTGGCATCCTGCTGTGGCACTGTGGGATAAAACACTGAACAGCATGGTTGGTTTGAATAATAAGGTCTGTGGTTCAAACTCACCAACCACTCCTTGGAAACCCTATACAGGATCACTGTATATACAGTAGAAAAACTCCATATCATCAGTCAAAACAAGACCAGGGGCAGACTGTGGAACAGATAATCAATTGCTCATATGCAAGTTCAGGCTAGAGCAGAACAAAGTTAAAATGAGTCCATGAGATCCAAAACATGACCTTAAACATATTCCATATGAATTTAGAGAATATCTGATGAGGAGACTTGATGCATTAGACACCAAAGACCTTAAGAGTTGTGAGATGACATCAAGAACATCATACAGGAAAAAAGCAAAAGGTCATTAAAAAGCCAAGAAAAAAGGAAAAGATCAAAATGGGTATCAGAAGAGACTCTGAAACTTGCTCTCCAGTGTAGAGATGCTAAAGCAAACGTAATAAAGCAAGCAGTACTAGAGCTGAATAGAAAATTTCAAAGGGCACTTTGAGAAGACCAAATCAAATATTAGAAGGAAATGTGCAAAAGCCTGGAGTTATGAAACCAAAAGGAAGAACACAGCGTTTCTCAAGCTGTGAGAACAGATGTTGAAAAAAATATTTGCAATGAATAAGTCATTGGCCTTACAAAATTCTATTGTGAGATATCTAGCATTGTTACTGTTACCAAGGCCATACTTTCCAACTACTAATCCTTCTTTGTTTCTAACTTTCACATTCCAACCACTAGTAATAATCTATGCATTTTCGTTGTCTGTTTGATCAATTTCAGATAGAGGAAGTTGGAAGCATTCTTCAATTTAATAATACCTGACTTTAGAGGTTCGATCATAAGTTTGAATAATAGTGGTACTAACTGATCTTTTTGTTGCTTTAGTTGCCATTCAGTCATTTTGAGTCATAACAACCCTGTACACAACAGAATGAAACACTGCCTGGTCCTACACCATCCTCATGATTGTTGTTATGTTTGAACTCATGGTTGCCACCACTGTGTCAATCTGTCTTGTTGTTGTTGTGTGTGTGTTGGGGGGGATCTTACTCTCTTTTGCTGGCCTCCAATTTACCAAGCATGATATTATTTTCCATGGACTGGTCCCTCCTGGCAATATTTTCAAAAAATAAGAGGTCTCACTATCTGTGCTTCAAAGGAGCATTCTGACTGTATTTCTGCCAAGACATATTTGTTTGTTCTACTTACAATCCATAGTATTTTCAATGACTTTATGCAGCACTGCAATTTAATGAATCAATACTCCTATGATGTTCCATACAGTCATGCCTTTGCATAGTCAATAAAGCACAGGTAAATATCTTTCCAGTATTTTCTGCCTTCAGCCAAGTTTCATCTGATATTA